CCTGGAATAGGCTTCCCAGAGAGGCGGTGCTCTCACCTTCCCTGAAGATCTTCAAGAGGAGACTGGACAGGCACCTGGCTGGGGTCTTATGACCCCTGCCACCCCCAATGCTCCTTCCTGCCCATGGCAGGGGGTCGGACTCGATGATCTGTCTAGGTCCCCTCCGACTCATTGATTCAATGAACATTTCTTAGTTGAATTAAACCAGAAGGGACAAGAAGGCTGCAGATGACTAACACAGGAATATATGAGAGGTTTCCAAATAAAATTGCCCAATTTAGTCACTCCGGAAGAAGGGAGCCTTGAGTTTGCCTGTATATAACATGAACTCATGGTACACCTTTTTTTTAGTTTATAAATTAAGGTTTCCTTTTGTCACTAGGGTTCTCAAGGATTAGCCACTTTCATCAATCAAAGCACTTCAATGAATCGGCACGACAAGGTGAGCCGCATTCCTTTCAGGCTCCATAAACAGTGCATGTATGCGTGTGTGGGGACACAGTCCCAACACTGAACTGGAATGCAAGCAGCATGAAGGAACATCAAAAATAGTTTTTTTGTATGGTCTTGTACAAAATAGTCAAGTCCTACCAAGAATGAGAACTTTAGCTAGAGCAGCCTGAGGCAAAAAAGTTATAGGAGAGGAGCTGGGGAAAAGAAAAAAAAAGCTAGCACTCTCCACAATTCAGGAAGACGTAACAATGGCAAGTTTTTCTAAGATCTAAACCAAAACAGCAATCAAAGTATTCAATTAAAGTTCAAAAAATTCAAAAGATAAAATATACTACTTAATTTGGAATTAATGCATTTGCTAAGAGGACTGTAGCCTATGGGGCCTTAACTTAACCGTCAGTGTAAAGGGTAGAAAATAAGAACCACCCAGTGAAGCTGTTTTTCAGTGGTCTTATGATGGAACACACTACACAGCACACAATGATACCTTGACATTTCTTTGTGCACCACCCCAGTCTCCTGTTTTTCAAGAAATGTCACACAAATACTCATTTCTGCAGAATTTTATCTCTTGTAAGTTTCCTGACCTGATAAAAAGAAGAGCTTCCAGAATAGAAAGCCTTATTATGACACTAATCCTTACTGAGTTTAACAATACAATACCATAAAACATTACTGATCGCTTGACTGCATGCTTATTCCATTGGAAAGTTAAAAAGATAACCACAGCACAGGAGGTGGTTGATGCAGGACTTGATCACTGTACCATATTATGAAGGTACCATGAACACGTTCTAGTGACATCCAGGGCAAATCAAGAGAATTGGTACATAATACCATTGGATTAAGTCAGCCAATTCAGTCAAGGTTAGTTTTGCATTAACTAATAAATGCTACAGGACCTTCGAAGATTGTCTCACTTCCTCATGCATACAAAGGAAAATATAATTTAACACGAACATTGTATTTCCCCATCATGTGCTTAAAAAGACATAGCATTTTTGTTGTAGGGCAACAGCTCTCTCTAATGTGGCCCTCATTAAAGCGTCTCATAGGAGAAACCAAAGCTACAGAAATCCAGTGTTGGTTTTTGCAAACCATCTGCAATGAAACCGGCATAGATATGGAGCAAAAGAGAACCCCAGAATTAACAGCCACCAAAAATGAACCAAAGTTGAATTGCCATCTCATTTCCACATCAGAAAATATTACAGCTGGATACCTGCAGCTACCAAGGAGGTAAGTAACCAAAGAGGGGACTGAACTATGCTCTGGCCACTATTCATGTACAGTGACGGGGGGATTTGTGGGACATGTATTGCTGTTGAGTGTCCTACATTTCACATCCATGAAAGGCTTCAGGCCATCAAGCTGGCTATTTGCATTAGCATTTAAAATACAGGATGTTTGACAGAGAATTTCTGCTGCTTCCAGAAACTGAAAATACATCCCACAATATCAAGTTACACCAAAATTCTGGTTTACTTACAGAACTTTTTCCACACTTTAAAAAAAAAAGATATTGATGCAGCATGAGACGGACAGAGATCACGACACTTGGCTTCCTTAAAGATTCAAGGAAAACCAAACAATTAAATTAGTTTACAGTTCAAGGCGGTGGTGTTGCAGCACCACAAAAAGTGGAACAGTCACTGTCCTATCATCATGTATGCTCCATGTGCTTCATGATCAGGGATCCTTGCTTTTCTCCAATTTAAAAAAATCCCCAATTTGGGGGTTAAAAAAAGGAACCCAAAATTCCAATTTTTCCATTATATGTATATTGAGTGGCGTTTCATTTTGATATCTACAGGTATCTATATATTATGGTATTTCATTTTAAAATCACAGAAAAATGTGGATTTTAAGTTACTTTTTTAACCTGAAAATTGGGGTTTTTTTTTTTTTAAATCAGAGAAAACCAGGATCCCTGTTCATGATTCCCTTCAAAATCATGCACTATTTTTGCTACATATCACCGAGGTCTTTGCACTACTTTGCCCTGCCTTTACTTGCAATTTGAGCTTGAAACCATGACTAGCAAATGCTGAGAAAGCGACTCTTACAGGTGTTGCTGAAGTTCACCCTCTTTCCTCTCAGCACTTGTAAGAACCACAAATGCTTAAGCACAGGGGAAAAAAAAAAGAACTCTGAAGCTTCAGATGAGACTGAAAGAACCAGTTTTACACCCATCAAACTCTTACACATTGCAGTACTTAACAGGATGTCAGAAGGTCTCTGGCACATGACCTGATGAATGATTGCCAAGGATTCGAGTGCAGAATAACTAAGCCCCGCCCCCTTTTTTTCTTTGAAAATTCAAACAAACATGGCTGCACAGAAGTAATTAGCAAAAAAAAAGCTAAAATCAGAGTATTTTAGATTTACAGTGGTGACTCCACTACCACAAAGACATCCTGACAGGAAACCACACATTCTAGTTTGAATTTAGTAATTCCATTTCAATAAACTACAAGATAGATTTAATGCAATTAACCAAGACAGCTGACTATTTAACAAAATGAGGTCTGGTTGTGGTTTGAATCCTGGCACTTAGTCAAGTGTATTCTAACAAGGTCCCCAGCCAGTGAATGACAAGCCACAGCTGTCTTCAAAATGATCAAATGTCTTCAACCTCCCCAAGCCACAAAAATAATTCAGGGACACTTTCTGTAGCTTCTAAGCTAATTTTAAGAAATTCAAATTGCCCAGAACTTTCATTTTATTCTTATTCACAAGATTACTAGGAGATGCGGTAAGAAATCAACACTTAAAACACATGTCTTGGCCCACAAGTACCCACCACTCACCTTGGTAGGGAAAGAAAATAAAACAGTCAGTTGTGGCTCAGCATTTTCCGCACAAAGCAATCACCTTTGGCTAAGACTTCTGTCAACAAAGTGTCAGCAAAATATGCCTTTGCCCAGCATACCACCCCCAGAAAATATTGGTTTAAAGCATTTCAACTGACAGCCAGCTGTTGCTGCTTCAACTCAAACCTTCCATACAATAAGCTTCCTCTGCAACAGAAATCAAAACTAATTTGTCCCGAACTACTTTATTAAAATAATGTGCATGTTTCAGAGCATAACTAAAATACTTGGGAGATTTCATAAAAACTCCATTATTTCCCCATCACCCTATCTTTCATAAATTCATAGATTGTTAGGGTCTGGAAGGGACCTCGCAGATCACTGGGTCCAGCCTTCCCTCTCTAGGCAGGAAGACAACTGGGGTCAAGTGACCCCAATCTCCTCTTGAAAACCTCCAGGGTAGGTGACTGCACCACCTCTGGAGGGAGTTTATTCCACAGTCTGGACACCCTGACTGTGAAGGAGTTTTTCCTGGTATTAAGCCTGAAGCGGCCTTCCAGGAGTTTGTACCTGTGGGTCCTGGTCTTCCCTGGAGGTGCTCTAGTGAACTTATCTGAATCTTAAAGCTCCTCCCCTCGCTTCCAATCCATTTTTGGGAGCCAGTAACTCATAAAATTTTATTTTCCATGGAAAACTAGATTGATGCAAGCTCACATTCTCATAGAGCTCTTACTGTACTTTATTTGAGGGTATGCCTACCAAGTTTAGGGTATCACCTTGCCAAGATACCCAGGCTAGGTCTGACCATGCTAGGGTCCAAAACTATAAGCAGCACAGTAGTGTGACATTATGCCATTATGCTCTGCTATATTGGTTCATGATGTAGCTTTATGCATTTCTCCACAGGGTTTCCTCACGCCACGTAAAATCCAGAACACAAACCAGTACATTTGGACCTAGCTTTGGGGTTTCTGCACACCATTTGTTTGCAGACTTACCACTGCTTTCAATCTTGTCTTAGGTCTCGGGTTTTTAAAACATGCTTGATTTGTAAATGACCTAAAAGACCACCCACACATTAAACATGTTCTGAAAAAAGGGGGGGGTTGAACTTTTGTCTCAGGGCTCAGAGAACCTTTTCTTCAAGCATTTCTTTTTTATCTTTATCAATTATCTTTTTAAGATACTTTCACACTGTAGGATATTATTATTCCATGCCACACAAAACCTACACAGAAATGCTAGCTGCTGATCATTTAAAACTCATAACATTTTAAAAATCTGTTTTAATTTTTTTTTTAAAAAAGGCATTTCTTGCCAATTGCTCCTGAAGCCATAACTTATCTCCTACCTCTACCTACAGTCTGAAAAAGGTCACCAAACAAATAAGCTGGTGTCCAGATTCTTCTCAGACCTCACAAAGGAATGTAATCTGAAAAGACACTTGCTCCAGGTAAATAATGAGAGAGACATAGTTAGTTGTGTTAGTTTGAAGTCAAGTAGAAGGCACGGTAGATTTGCACCTAAGAGCGCAACTAAAGGGGGGGGGGGGAAGTGAGAGAGTGTAAGCACACTGATGAAGTTAGCTACAGCTCACAAAAGCTTGTGCTTTATAAAATCTACTTTGGTTAATCTAGAAGGTGCAAATATATCATGCCTCCTAAAAGATGGGATCCAAAGCTGAAACAGCAGCACAGAACTGCATTACTTGCCAAAGCAGTCAGTGGCTTAGCTTTAAATGGAGAAATGTACACCAGGGCAAGCAAGACAGAAGCTGCAATTAAGTCAATACTATCCCATCTTTCCTCTTCCTCCCCGCCCCCCAATTTTTTTCAGGCATGTGTTGTTGAAGAGAATATAGTCTAGATACACAAAAAATATGGCATTCACAATGCACACATCAATTCCCTCCTTTCCAGATGCACTATAAATGGATTACAAGAGTCCTCTTCCCCTAACCCCCAAATCTAACGCAACTGAGCCAGGAGGAAAAGCTTTCCTTATTAAAGAAAAGATGACTTCAAAGCCAAATTGCTTACAGATACTTAAAGTACCATCTCAGACCACACTGTTATATAAATCAAGTCATCAAGGTGAAAACTAAAGAAAAGCAACTCTGCCATCTAGTGATGGTAAGCATTCTTCTTTTTTGTGTGTAGGCGTTAAGACCTGAACACAAGCAAATTTTCATTCGCTGATTCCCAGAGATAAAACTAAAGAGAAATGTTTTTGGCAACTGACATTTAAATCTCTCAAAGCAGAAAGAAACTTCATAAACAAGTATTTTAATATCTAAAAATAGATTTAAATCTTATAAAATTATTTTAAAAAATCCCATACACAGAACAGATGAATCATGCCACAAATGAAATGGTGCTCTTAACCTTTCCCAAGCCTTTTTTGCCTAAGTTCTTGAGAGATGCCTACAAGTTTAACAGCAGCAGCACACTAAAGGATAACAACAGACTTAAAGAATTGAGAGGGGAGACATTATTTTATTTCCTAAATACCTGAAAGGTACTGAGATAAGAAGACATCAGTCATTATTTAGATATTTATCTATCTCTATAAATATACCAAAGAAAAGTAGTTGGGAGACACTGAACTTCTGAAGTGATTTCTTTTCTTTTTTGAACAGTCAGTGTTTAACTTGCTTGTTTTCTCTCAGTATATATCAGCTGAACATTTGCCCTTATTCTTCATTGTTATTCCTGCTTCTCCCTAGTGTTGTTTTCCCCCTTTGGTATTTGAACGGATCACACTGGGCAGGTGGAGTGGTGGAGAGGGAAGGAAGATATTTATAGCTGGATTCAGTATCAGCTCCTAAACAAGATGCATTTTAAACAGTAGGTTGGCACAGCAGCTCAAGTGGCAGAGCCTGCATTACAATCTGGGTCTCCCTGTTTAAAGCCTGGAGCTCTAGTCTCTAGAACAGTGATTTTCAACCAGTGGCTGGGGGTCCACAGACTACATCCAAGGGGCCTGCAAAAGACAACTGTGAATGATGAAAAACATGTAAATACTCACACTTACAATTCAAAGGCGTTGACATCCATTTGAAATTTTCAAAGGAGTCCGCACCTCCATTCCAAATTTTTTAGGGGTCCACAAATGAAAAAACTGAAAACCACTGTGCTCAAATCTCTGCCCTGCTGATACCCAGGACTAGAGAGAGCCTGACTATATAGAAAAATATACTGGAAGTCCTTAAGAATCCGAGTGTTAAAATTCTAAAATGACTTAGTGAATATTTCAAAACAGGAATTTTGTTTTTGGAGCAGTTTTTACCAAAGCAATTAAGGTTCCAATCCTGAAATCTGAGTACTAGGGAGATTCACCACCACAAAAGATTCCCTGTAGGCTGAACCTCATGGCTTAGTTTTGAATGGCTGGTGACTAAGTCAGTTGAAGACCTTACCAACATACAGGTAATGCCATAGGCAAACTGATTTCCTCCTGATGTTTATACCTGAAAACTATCAAGTTTAATTAATTAAACATAGGAGAGTATAGAACTTCTCTAATAAAATAAAATTAAAAAAAAGAGAGAAATACTGGATCCAGGGGAGCCATCAGACTTTTTCTCATGACTAGCCATCACAACTTACTTTGAAAAGATAGCCATTAGCTTCTTTCTATTCCTTCTTGGCTCTGAATCTTCTTCAAACTCTTCCATTTCTTTCCCTAGAAAAACCTCCTGGTGAAACTCCTTGTTAAGATGTCCATCCATCTCCATTTTGACCCCATTGAGGTGGTCTGGAGGCAAGATCTCATTTTCATCTTTGCTGTCAGGTGCCTTCTCTTTTAAGGCAGAATTATTTGCAGGCCTGGCATAAACGTCCATTAGCAGGAACACAAACAGGAGCGACAAATAGAGAGAGCCCAAACTGCAGAGGAAGGCCTGTTTTGACATCATTGTTCTTTTCTTTTCCTTGTCCAAAATATTAGTAGGTTAAATTACAGTGAAAGGGTTTAAGGTATCTAGGGGAGTAAAAAGAGAGAGAGACAAAAATTAAACTATCGTGAAAGGGAGCGAGAGGCAGACAAGAATAAGGAACCCCAAACAGTAAAGCCACAACTTGATTTTATACTGCAAGTGAAAAACAAAATGTCAACCTTTAAAACATTAAGTGGCAAACTTATAGTACATGCATTTACTCCAAATTCAAAAGCAGTATACAATAAGTCATCTGAAAAATACAAGAGAAAAACAATACTGTGACAAGGATTAGGAGAGATTAGAATAAGAAACCCCAAATAGCCAAGACATGCCATGATTTTAAACTACCAGTTTAAAAGCAAAATGACAAACATTGAAAATAAGTAACAGACTTATTGCATGTGAGTTTACTGCAAATACAAAAGCCGTTGATTAAAACAAACAAACAATGAAGTTTGGTGCAGTTGCAAAAGGAGTGCTACCTATTAGGGAAAGAAAGATTGAGTGGCAAACCTTCTATAGCACATGCATTTATTCCAAACACAAATTCTGTTGATGAAATGACCTAAAAAAGAGAGAAAAAGGAAAAATAAAATTCCTGTGGAAGGCATTAAACAATCTCAAGAGGGAACAAGAGAAAGCCCCAAATAGTAAAGCCACAATATGATTTGATATTATGAACGTGCAAGCAAAAAGCCACGCATTATATATTGAGTGACCAAGCTATTTATTACAGCACATGGCTTTATTTCAAATACAAAGCAATCAGCTAAAAGAAAAAAGCAATGAAGTTGGGTGCAGTTGTGAAAAGGGGAGGAGGAAATGAGCAAACAAAACCTGTTTGCTGAGAATACAATACACAAGCTTCCCTTTGACAGAGTCACATGCACGGCTTATCCATGCAAACCCGGGGGACGGGTCACTCTGCTGCACAACTCTGGCATGTACCACGCAGTTGCAGGTGACCTGCATATTTTAATCTACTGTTAAAGGAACACAGCTGTAGGTGATCTGCAGACTTTATTGACAAACAAAAAAGTTTTTACTAACACGTGAGTCTACTCCTAAAAACTAAACATCACAGATCCGGTGACATTCACTTCCTGCAAAGACCGCTGAGCTGCTCTGAGGCAGCTTCATCACAGCTTGCAAGGTCATTTCCTACTATTTCCCAACATCAAACCCCTCTCTTCCTGCCAGTCCATCCAGAGGATGCAACGAAGCAGGCTATTAACCACAAAACCTCACACTTCTCCAAACTTTCCCGCTCGGTGCCTGATGATCCCTCCCAGCCCTTACCAATGATGAATTTATGAACGAGGCAGTCTCCGAGGTGTCACCCAGCGAGGCATCTTTTTTCATACTGCCCACCCTACCTCACTAGCCTCAAAGCCCACCCCCCCAGGAAAAAAAAAACACCGGCTTGTTTGGGGGGTTTTTCTGCCACTAAAAAGCCTCGGGTGGCAACGAAAGCTGGACAAGCTGGCGCAGGTGCCTGCACGCCCCTGTCGGCGGGGGATCCTGGGGAGAGGCGAGCATCCTGTCCCCAGGACACCTACCCGCCGGGCTGAGCCTGGGCCGGGAACGCTCCCAGGCAGCCAAGCTGAGGCTGAAAGACAGCAGAAGAGAGCGGGGAGCCGGGGCAGCGAGCAATGGGGCAGCTCCCCCACTTCCCCCACCCGAGCCGAGCCCCGTACTCCCGTCGGGCCGGGGGGGGGGGGG